ACAACCTCATAGTACGTACATTCAACAGTTAAAGTCGGAGTAGTTGTGTTAGACAACCTCATAGTACGTACATTCAACAGTTAAAGTCGGAGTAGTTGTGTTAGACAACCTCATAGTACATTCAATTTATTATTTCTAGAACACTTACCATGCTTATATCTTAATTAAAGTACCAATATTCTAGATATTTCTTGTACGATTCGGGTATTCATTTAATTTCTTATTTATCATCAGCTAGAACAGTAAACTGTATCGTGTTCGGATGTCAGACTGCTCTAAAGTTGTCCTGTCGGAGCAGTTTAATCGGGATTCATTGGTCAAAAGGTGTTGATAAGGAGGAGTGTGTAAGTTTTTACTTATGTTGATTTTACTTTGTTCAACAAACATTAAATCTACAATAATACTTGAAGCTAGCAACTAGTGTTAATGTGCTTCGCAAGTAAGGTATACTATGTTCTTTCTTTAATGTTACTTTCATTAATAGTATTGAATGGAATGTTTAGTATAATCTTGTTTTATTATTATAAAAATTATTTTGCATTGTTAGCTCATTATACGGATTTAGGACTAATCTAAATTATCTAAGCTGGTCGAACCTTTTGAGGTATTATTGGTTTACATGCAAAGGTACCGAACTGATGAAACAATGCATTCTAATCTTAGTAAGTTTTGGGTGTTAGTTTTTACAGAAAAGCCACAATGGGCTATCTGTTGTGTCCGCCGCGGGAATCGAACCTCGTATTTTTGCTTTGTAAGCCCCGTAAACCTACCGCTGATCCACCGAAAGACATTTATAAGTTACAAAGTAAGAAATGTATAATTGTACTCATTATGGGATTGATTTGCATTTTTATTTTTTGTATGTTGCTTGCTCTGATTGGAAGTAGATATTAATTAATTTATTTCCTCTTGAAAAACATCTTTACAATTTTCATTTAAAAAAAAACCCTCTGTTGACTTCAGCTTATAAAAATATCTTTGCTAAGTTTTGCTTGGAAATATCATTAATTTCCACTTGAAAAAAAAAAAATCTTTGGTAATTTACTCCACTTGAAAACAGCCAGGATTTAATGGAACAATTCTGGTGTAATCGTAATATTTACACAAATCTATAGTCTAGTTTGTACATAAAAGCAATAACTTACTAAAACATTTCGGGTGTAATCGGAATACACAAGCAAATCTCCAGTTTAATTTGCAAGTCAAGGGGAGAATCTGTTAGAACATTTCTTGTTCAACGGATCCTTAATTTAAAGGCATGTTCCCCATTTAGCTGACAAAATCTATCTGAAATACTGGTAATTTTAAAATGCGTAAACGTTTCAAGTAGATGGCGAGTTTACCCTTAGCACAAAATGTTAAAGCTTTTAGAACTCGTTATTTGTCACAAAGAACTAAAATAAATGACAGATGGTTTTGATGTATATCTCAAGTTGAGTGTGTCGTCAAAGTAAAGACAGATGATGCAAAATTAAATTGGTTACATCTGGTTGTCTGATGCTACAATAAATCATGATGTTTAGAGGCCGATTTTAGAGGTACTGTTCGTTTTTTTTTTTCGTTGTTGTTTTCTTCTATGCCTGTTTCCAAATGTCACTGGCTCCTGTCTGCATTTTCTACGACAACGATTAAGCGCCAAATGCTTCCCATTTGAATGTTTGGAACGTACCACATATAATGTTGCAGGTTCTTCAAATACGTGCATTTTCGAAAAGCGTTGTTGGGAACTACACAATCACATCTTGGCAGAGTGAAGGTAAATTAAGACGTTATTTTCCAACTTTTTTTCTTAAAACAAGTTTCAGCTTGCTTGATATTGAAATAAACCTTGATGCAAGTGAAAGTATGTGTTGTAATCTACACTCAGGACTATTCGTTATAAATAGCTACTTCAGACGAGCAGAAAGCGATCCCAGCGTGGGACTCGGAGCACTTCTTCAAGCAAACGAGCGCAAGTCTTTGTGCAGTTACCAAAGCAAAATGGCAGAGAAGCATTCAAGCAGGAAGTGATCAGTGTTAGTTTCTGGTTATATCCGCCACCGGAGATGGACGGAGGTTATGTTTTCACCCCAGTTTGTGTGTGTGTTTGTCAGCAAGATTTCTGAAAACGGCTGAATGGGTTTGAAAGAAACTTGGTATACATTTGGACTATGACCCAACTTAGAACTGATTAGTTTTTGGAGGGTCAAGGTCAATGTCACAGCAAGGTCATGAAAAAAATCTCCATTTTTAACATTGGGACCGATTTTTCACACTTTTTTTTTTTGCTCTATAACTCAGTCAAAAAATAATCGGACATATGTAGAATATTATTCCTAATTCCTCATTGTCCTGCCAAAAATGATCCTTGTCCGTTGATAACGACGGACATACGAACACATTTTCATATTTCTTGAGAACCCTACTGAGTTCTCCTCTAGTTGATGTATAGAACTGTTGCATAAATTTAGCTGCCCCCAGTGGCACAGAGGTATGTCTTCGGACTTATACTGCTAGAAACCAGGTTTCGATACCCGTGTTGGGCAGAGCACAGACAGTCCTTTGTGTAGCTTTGTGCTTAATAACAAACAACAACAACATAAATTCAGCTCACTGTAACTCTCCATAAAAAGAATACGAAATTTTGTAACATTTAAAAAAAGTACAATTTGGACGATAAAAGCAGTTACATTTTTTAAACTCTTAAGTCAGTGATATTTAGGAAAAGAAAATCATAACCCTCAGTATTATTATTTTTACCTCATTAATTTTTAATATAAATATATCAAATTCCATTTTTTTTCTGCTATCCTTATCCTCCCAAAATGTAAGAAATATCGGCCAATTATTTTTTTGTGTAAAGCGCAAAACTGCACAATGAGCTAGCTGTGTTTTGCCCATCACGGGTATCGAAATCCAATTTTTAGTATTATAAGCTCATTGACTTACTGCTGAGTCGTCACGGGGGGTAATATCAGCTGCAAGCTAATTTCTATCCTTCAGTTGAAACACATGGAGAAAAACCTATAAACATCACAGTCATGTGAAGTAGAGATTTCACATAAAACAAACCCATAACAAAAATTAATACACATTATATTTTTAGTTTATCTACCAATAGAACTTTGTTGGTTATTTTTCATTTTTACGTTGCAATTACGTCGCTATTTAAAATCACCTAATGTCAAAATACAGAAACAAGGAAATTATAAAATATAATTTTTTAAAACAAATAGGAACTACTGTTTTAAATCTACCAATAAACCCATCATTATGGAACTTTTATCACACATAGCCTTATAAAGCCTTTATCAAGAATTCACTTGTATGCAATCTCCATCAGAAACCCGGCTTTATAAAACTGTTATCACACAAAGCCTTATAAAGCCTTTATCAAGAATTCACTTGTATGCAATCTCCATCAGAAACCCGGCTTTATAAAACTGTTATCACACATAGCCTTATAAAGCCTTTATCAAGAATTCACTTGGATGCAATCTCCATCAGAAACCCGGCTTTATAAAACTGTTATCATTATTCCAATCTTATGGAACCTTTGTCACAAATTCAGCCATATATAATATTTATATTAATATCTAATATTAAATATATAATATTTATAAGGAATTCATTCTTATAAGCTTTCTATCAGAGTTTCTTAAGGGATACTTTATTAGAATTGTATCCTTAAAATATTGTTCTCAAACCCTATTTATTCTCACAATACTGTTCTTAAATAGTGTTTATCCTTCCAATACCGACCGTCAGTGCCACACTGCTAAGTCTGAAGGCTTTTTAACGCTAGAATTGGGTTTCGATACCCGTGGTGGGCACAGCGCCAATAGCCCATTGTGTAGCTTTGTGCTTAACTAGAAACAGGCTTAAAATACCGTTGTCAAATACTAATTATCGTTACAATACCGTTTTAAAAGAGTATTTATTCCTATAATACCGTTCCAAAGCAGTATTTAACATTATAATACCGTTCCAAAGCAGTATTTAACATTATAATACCGTTCCAAAGCAGTATTTAACATTATAATACCGTTCCAAAGCAGTATTTAACATTATAATACTATTTGAAACAGTATTTATCCATATAAAATAGTTTTACTACAAATTACATATTCTGACCTTTGCATAAATTAATAATGTCATTGAACTCACCTTTTTCTTGTCGATTAGCAGACACTGGGAAATGCCGCAGGGAAAGCTTCCACTGGATGGGAGCTGAACAAGGAGTAATGGTTAGTGACAAAGGACTGTGTTCTCGTTCCACCAAGAAGAAAACCCTACAAAGGAATCGGTCACATTACAACCTTCCAACCCTGAATAATCTGAATATTTTAATTTGTAGTGTTTCTATTGTTCGCACTTGCTAGCACTAAGGTACTAGTTAGCTGACACAAAGTTAAAGTTAAAAAAAGAGATAATCCTCAATAGCCACGGCTGCAATTAGATCTCAAATCGGTCAAGAGATGGAGGTATGAGTTAAAAGTTTGTACTTGAAAAAAAACAAAAAACTAGCTCGGAGCCATTCTATGAGCTGATATGCCGCGTCTAAGAACATAAAACAAAGAAACATCTAGTCGTGTACGACAGCTTATGAATGATGAAAATGAGAAAATGCAAAGCAGAATCCTCTAATGCTGTACAATGCCGGAACAAAATATAAAACCTCGGATATTGTGCGATATTTGGCTAAAGTTAAAGAACTATAAATTAGAAACTTGCTGTATCTTAAGATAGCTTGTTTGTTTGGTTTGTTTTGAATTTCGCGCAAAGATACACGAGGGCTATCTGCACTAGCCATCCCTAATTTAACAGTGTAAGACTGGAGGGAAGGCAGCTAGTCATCACCACCCACCGCCAACTCTTGGGCTACTCTTTTAACAAGATTGGGACTGACCGTCACATTATAACGCCATCACGGCTGAAAGAGCGAGCATGTTTGGTGTGACGGGGATTCGAACCCGTGACTCTCATATTTCGAGTCGAACACCCTAACCACCTGGCCATGCCAGGCCGTTAAGATAGCTAACGAAGAGTTAAATTAAGGAATTCTGACATATTAATATTTTGTATTATACGACAGCTGAACAATGTCAAAATTAATTAATTCTAAAATAGAAGTTTCTGGTATTGTGAATAGCTGAAAAAATGTAAAATTAAAGAATTCGAATACAGAATATTTTGGTATTGTATAATAATTGCCTAAATACAAATTTAAGGAATTCTAACATAGAATCGGTTGGTATTGTATGATAACTGATCAAAGTGAAAGTTTAGGAATTCTAAGATAAAATCTGTTGGTGTTGTATGATAACTGATCAAAGTCAATGTTAAGGAATTCTAAGATGGAATCTGTTGGTGTTGTATGATTGTATGATAACTGATCAAAGTCAATGTTAAGGAATTCTAAGATGGAATCTGTTGGTGTTGTATGATTGTATGATAACTGATCAAAGTCAATGTTAAGGAATTCTAAGATGGAATCTGTTGGTGTTGTATGATAACTGATCAAAGTCAAAGTTAAGTGATATATGCAAGTGTGAGATCTTTCCTCTACACATATCAAGTATTGATCAGTTTGTGATATATGCAAGTGTAAGGTCTTTCCTCTACACATATCAAGTATTGATCAGTTTGTGATATATGCAAGTGTAAGATATTTCCTCTACACATATCAAGTATTGATCAGTTTGTGATATATGCAAGTGTGAGATCTTTCCTCTACACATATCAAGTATTGATCAGTTTGTGATATATGCAAGTGTAAGGTCTTTCCTCTACATTTTAATTAAAATTGGACCAATATCTACTATTGTTATAAAATAATTATTGATTTACCTGTTGTTTATAAACAAACGAACATTATTTTAAAAACGTGTTTTATAAAATGGTATTCATTGTATGGTGCTATATTTGTAAATGCAAAATATATTTCAAGTCCTTAGTTCTATTATCTTATTCAGTAAAAAACAGTATAAACCACATAATTACTTAAATAGTTACATAAATATTTCAACTATATCTCAACGTAGTTTACCAATAATGTTAACTACACATTTGATTTAAGTATTAAGGTATAAAATTATATTTTAGGTTTAAATAAGTATTCTTCCTAAAGTGTATTTGGAAACATCTTAGTAATTATATGACTTATTCATTTTATTTTTGCCCCTCAGTGACACAGCGATATGTCGGATGATTTACAACGCTAGAAACCGGGTTTCGATACCCTTAGAGAGCAGACCACAGATAACCTATTATGTAGCTTTATGCTTAACTTCAAACAAATAAACACATTTATAATTTTTGTGATCCGATTCTTTACAAAATCGATCTTTTGAATAATAACCTTTAAAAATAGGACCTTGCGTTGGAACTATAGTATGTATGGATCGTAGATAACTATTAAAAAATTAAAATATGGACCTATACTGAAAAATTAGTGTTGTTCTACAACTGACCAGAGTTATAGGAAAGAACTCGAGCACAAAAGTTTCTGTCACTTTATTACTGATAAACAAAACTGAAACTATAGAACTGTTACATTGACACTTCTGGTGTTGAATGATGGTGTAACATTAAGACGTTAGAGTAGAGTTAACTACTTTATTACCGGTGAACAAAACTGAAACTTTAGTTCTGTTACATTGACACTTCTGATGTTGAATGATGGCGTAACATAATTAACATTAAGACGTTAGAGTAGAGTTAACTACTTTATTACCGGTGAACAAAACTGAAACTTTAGTTCTGTTACATTGACACTTCTGATGTTGAATGATGGCGTAACATAATTAACATTAAGACGTTAGAGTAGAGTTAACTTTTTGTTTTTATCTAGAGCTCATATTACGAACGTAAATACTGTTGAATGATACAAAAAATGTCTCTAATTAAAGGAAATTAAAATATGGAGAGAATTGTTTCTGTAAAACATCCCGAATATTCTATTGTTTCACGTGACTATTTTTAACCTTTTTTTTGTGATTTTGCACCGAAGCTTTAAATATGTGTAACTAATTTTCTCTGTTGAAATTGAAAACTTTACATTCTGATATACCGAAATACTCTTTAGATAGACCAAGTGTGAATAAAATAAACATTTGCATTTATATTCCTAGTATAGTTTAACAGTGACGTAATCAAACCTCGGATGTTCAGGAAAGTTTAGCTATACAAGGTCTAAAATAGTGAAAACGTGAAGTAATTCAATACTGAAGAATCAAAAACACAACTGCATGTTTGTCTATTACTACTTACTAATCAGGGATGTAAGATGTGAATCAAAACTCAAACTTGAAGATATAAGATGTAAATTAAAACTACTTGACTGTGTAAGATCTAAGTCAATACTTCTACTTGAATGTGTGAGAAGTGAATCAAAACTTCTACTTGAGAGCGTAAGATGTAAACTAAAACTTCTACTTGAAAGTGGAAGATGCCGTTTTAAGGTCAAGGTGACAGGTTTTTTTAGTGAATGAAAATATTAATAGAACAGCTACTATAAAGGTGTCATGTAGGGCACTTAAAGCCGTTCTTTAAGAAACATCTACAAGACAGTACCATCAACTCATACTGACGGTAAGTACAAGACTGTACCACTACCAACTCATACTGACGGTAAGTTCAAGACTGCAGCGCCACCAACTCATACAGACTGTATCAGTATAACAGTGTACCACTACCAATTTATAGAGACGGTATTAGTATTTGAGTGCCAACTCCTAGAAACTACATATAAGACTACATCACCATCGATTCATAAAAGACGGTATCGGTATCTAAGTGTCCCGCAAACAACTCCTAGAGACGGTATCAGTATCTAAGTGCCCCAGAACCAACTCCTAGAGACGGTATCAATATAAGACTACATCACCACCGATTCATAAAAGACGGTATCAGTATCTAAGTGCCCCACAAACAACTCCTAGAGACGGTGTCAGTATCTAAGTGTCCCACAAACAACTCCTAGAGACGGTATCAGTATCTAAGTGCCCCACAACCAACTCCTAGAGACGGTATCAGTATCTAAGTGCCCCACAACCAACTCCTAGAAACGGTATCAATATAAGACTACATCACCACCAATCTATAAAAGACGGTATCAGTATCTAAGTGCCCCACAACCAATTCCTAGAAACGGTATCAATATACGACTACATCACCAATCTATAAAAGACGGTATCAGTATCTAAGTGCCCCACAACCAATTCCTAGAAACGGTATCAATATAAGACTACATCACCACCAATCTATAAAAGACGGTATCAGTATCTAAGTGCCCCACAATCCATTCCTAGAAACGGTATCAATATAAGACTACATCACCACCAATCTATAAAAGACGGTATCAGTATCTAAGTGCCCCACAACCAATTCCTAGAGACGGTATCAGTATATGGGGAAACCAACAACTAGAACACTCAAAGGAAACATTTCGATAATCTACTACATGGGTGTAATATTAAGGGACTTCTTATAGTATTTAAAGCAAGTAAAAAAATATACATTATTTTTTTTATTTCTACCTTTTAATTTTAAGTTACCGTTTATTTTCAGAAACAGTCCCACATCTTATCCATTCTTAGAAACGATGCCAACTGTATACTCTTTCATGCGAGCGTCCACGAAATAAGAAATTTAATTCGGTCACCGTGTCTCTGTTTCCCCCCTAAAACAGAGCCCTGTAAATGTCACCCCAGTTTACCTGCCAGGGCTCGCTGCCAGCCAACTGAAGCTCGACCCAAAAATGTACGTATTGTGCCAGATGATACTGAAGAACGTAAAAGGGTGAAAACGTAGAAAGCCCATGTGTTTCTGAGATCCGCTTTAGAATCCATTTCAGGCCCAATTAACATCTATTCAGCAAGACTACTTGATACTACATGTTCTACAGGTAAGCGAAGAAAGGACTGAAAAAAAGAGAAAAAGCTGGAATTGTCTAACAAGAAACAGTAATTAAATATAAATATTACGTATCTACCACTGTTACGCCGTATTTGGTAGTTGCATAATTCATTTCCTTAAATAATCTACTCAAATAATTATTACACGTATATCATAAAGCCTATCTGTAATGTTCCGCTGTTCTGATAAAATATTACGTCATTGGAACTTCGGTTTTTAATTTATACACTACTCTGTTTACTTGTGGACCAAATATCTTTTGATTTTTGTTCACTTCAGTAGATGAGCAGAAATCACCCAAAAGTTCTAAAGTCAAACAGCATTTTACATATGAAGAAAAACTCACTTTTTAACTTCCTCCCTGAAGACAAACACTCTGACTTCTGTATCCTCAGGTAAAACCTTGTTGTCATAGAAAACTTCTGGGCGAAACTTTTTAAAATAAAAGTTAACATTGTCTTCGCTAGATACTTCAAGCATAGCAGGGACGAAGTAGAGTACGACGACAAATACGATACACGTGATTGACGAAGACATGTTGGACTTCCTGTTGAAAGTTTGAAAACGTTTTAAATTAAGAAGACTAGATCAAAGACAATACTAAACATCAAGCATTTTATTATTGACATAACATATGGACTCAACACAAGATTCGATATCCCAAGTAACGAAACCAGTCATTTATATTGGACTAGCTTTTAACGGCTACCTGACGTGGATTGGTTAATTCCTAGCAATGACGAAAGGAGTAACTGTGATTGATGTTGTATATGATTAAACTGTTGTAGAATATGTTCTAACTTAGATGCTTGTATTGTTGTTTGGCGAGGGGGAGGCTTGACGTTCCGTGGTGAGTTTGATGCTTAATATCTGAAAATTTCTCAAACGTTTTGGAATAGTTTGAGCAGTATAAACACAAGTTTGACTAGAATACATAACTATTGATTATTGAGTCCATTAGTAAGTTTTACTGAGTTTGTTAGAATGGTTTTTGAGTCAATGAGTTGTTAGTGCTATAAATACCGAGTCTGTCTACTCGTCACAGTACTAACATAAGTGCTGTACATTGTTGTAGAGCTGAAGAAATTAGCAAGTAAAAGTGTTTTATGTTAATTTCTACTGTGAACTTAGGCCTATGACTGAACATTAATTTAGGTAAATTAAATAAGTTGTAGTGGAAAAAATAAAACGTTTTCCCTATCATTAAGTGGACTGGACTTTGCATTATTTGTTTATCGAATAATCCAAAACATCCCATCCAACAATAAAAACCGTTAAAACTATGAAGACTTCTCACAAAGAAACAAAAAAGACCAATCTAAAAAATCTTATGAAAGCTTGAAATAACGTTAAACAACTTACGATCCAACTATAGGTAAAACAAATCTCGTATAATGTTGACTCCTGGAGAAGAATTATGGCGGAATCTTTCACTGTGTACATGCTATTAAGATAGCGTTATTTTATAATCAGGAAAAGCACATTGATTTTTTGTGAAATATTTCCCTCTCTTTCGTCTTATAGACAATGGGTTGGAAAAATTTTGTTGTTCAAAGACAATCTATTATGTTAAAATATATACATATTATAAATTAAAAAACGAAAAATATAATATCTATCATAATGTATATATATATATAATTTACGGAACTAAGAATACATTTTGTTCAAAAATTTCTTATTAGCCGTGAAGCAGCAAGCAGAATGTTCAGGTACAGATAATTAAACTTTAAAAAATACAACTAAGTATTTCTTATTATACACGAAATAGCGAGTAAAATGCTAAGGTATATATTATTAAATTGAAAACCAAAGCACGAAGTTCTTAAAGATATTTTGATAAATGTGAAAAAGCATTTGAAACGTTGAAGTGCACATTATGAATCCATAAAACATCAGGATGTTATTCTGTTCATTCAAATTTTCTATAGAAAATTGATAGACCTAGAAAACAGAAATAAATGTTTTACAAATATACTTTTTGCAAACATGTCACAAGTATTTTAAAATGTAACTCATGTTTACTTAAAACCTTACTTAAATCTGCAGTATAAGCAGATTCATAAATCATGCCTTGAAATCTTGCAGAAGCTTCTTCGAACTGATATCATGAAGTTCGATGTTGGATGACACTTCCTGCTAGATAAGTAGATTCATCAAAGCTGCCGTTTAAATATGTTGTAAAAACCAAACTTAACGTACACATAATTTTATATAATCAATCATAAACATATTCCAATTGTTCCTGGTACGGCGTAGTGATTAAGGCGTTCGACTCGCGATTTGTGGGTCGAGGGCTCGAATCCCCATCACCGAATCTGTATATCTTTTCAGCCGTGTGGACGTTATAACGTACTGGTAAGTCCCCCTATTCGTTGGTAAAAATGTAGTCCAAGAGTTGGTAATGAGTGGTGTTGACTAGTTCCCTCTAATCTACCAGTGCTAAATTAGGGAGGCTAGCGCTGATAGCCCTCGAGTAGCTTTGCAAGAAAAGCAAATCGTTATAATATCTCTGGGCAGGAAAATAAATAAATAAATAAAAACTTATTTATACAAATTCTAAAAGAACTGCAGAATATATAAACGTAGAATAAGATTACCGCGACAATATTACGTTCTTTCAAATAATTGACGAGTTGCAGATAAAAGAATATCTATGCAAGCAACTAAAAATGGGGGTTATTTATCTATATTATTTTGTTGCAGGAAGCGCTAAACACCGTGAATTTTCCATCTTCATATAGCCACGCACTAACAGATAACAGAAGATAGGTTGATGTCCAGAAGACAACATATAAGAGTTTTGGTCTGGTTTGAATTTCGCGCAAAGCTATACGAGAGCTATCTGTGCTAGCCGTCCCTAATTCAGCAATGAAAGATTAGAGGGTTACTCTTTTACAAACGAATAGTAGGATTGACAGTCACATTATAACGCCCCCACGGCTGAAAGAGCGAACATGTTTGTACATATAAGAGATTGTGAGACAAGGGCGAAACATTCTAAAATAAAAGATCAGAAAAGAAACAAACATAGAAACTATGCGATACCTGCGCTCTAGCTAACAAACATAGAAACTATGCGATACCTGCGCTCTAGCTAACAAACATAGAAACTATGCAATGCCTACCCTCTACCTTACTTATCGAACAGTTGCAACATACTTTAGAAATAGAAACTATGCAATGCCTGCACTCTACCTTACTTATCAAACAGTTGCAACATACTTTAGAATTAGAAACTGTGTGATCCCTGCACTCTACCTAACAAGCATAGAAACTATGTGATGCCTGCACTCTACCTTACTTGTAAAACAGTTGCAACATACTTTAGAAATAGAAACTGTCTGATCCATGCACTCTACATTACAAACATAGAAACTATGCGATAGCTGCAATCTGCCTTATAAATACAAATAATATAATAGCTGCACTCTACATTACAAACATAGAAACTATGCGATAGCTGCAATCTGCCTTATAAATACAAATAATATAATAGCTGCACTCTACATTACAAACATGGACTATCGAAAAAGTGTACTATACTTTAAACACAGGAACTATATGACAGCTGCACTCAACTAGCTTGTTTAGCAAATACAAACGAATCTGTACTACAGTCAGTAACGTTTTATAAGATATTTACAGACTTAGCAAACAAAAACAAATCAGTAACGAACTAAAAAAAAAAGATTTAACTAGTTTAGCAAATGAAAATGAATTTCTGATACTAGCAGTAAAGTTTCTACAAAAGAACTACCATGTCTAACAAATAAGAAGGAAACGATATTACTAGTAATATTTTTTATGAAACAGTTAACGCGCTGAACAAATTAACACGAAGCTACAGTTTCTTATAAGAGTCAACGTATTGAACGAATGAAAACGAAGTTATTTTTCAAAGAGTTAGGTTTTGATAAAAAAAGAGTTAACGTACTTTAAATGATTATTTGTTTGTAGAATTTCGCGCACAACTACTCGACGGCTATAAGCGCTAGCCGTCCCTAACTTAGAAGTGATAAACTAGAGAGAAGGCAGCTCGTGAACACCGTCACCTCCTAGGCTACTCAAATCGGACTGTAGGATTGAACGGTACATAATAATGGTTGAAAGCGCGAGCATGTTCGTTAATGGAAACCGAACTCGCGATCTGCAAATTGCGAGTCGAGTGCTCCTAGAAGATGGATATTCGCTTTGTTTTCACATGAAACGCTGTTTGTTTGTTTGAAGTTAAGCACAAAGCTGCACAATGGGCTATCTGTGCTCTGCCCACAACGGGTATCGAAACCCGGTTTCTAGCTTTGTAAGTACGCAGACATACCGCTGTGCCACTGGGGGAGCCATAAAACGATAACATACAATTTGGATTTATACGCTATAATAACCATTAGATGACTCGTTCATCAAGATGTTTTTATCAGTTTTTTTCTCTGTGTTCCAGATCTCACCCCGTCCTTCATTTACTCTCTGAGATATTTTTGTCACTTTCTTCGCAGTGTGACAGTCACCTCAAAGAACGTAAAACAGAGCGACTTTAGTATACTCTTTCTACAATTTAGGAGCAACTGAAAACACCAGACGTAATTAATTTTCTAGCTTATAATATCATAACTTGCATGTCTCGGCTAATATGCAAACAATGTAACATAACTGCCGTTCCTTTGGCAAGAAGATGGTAAGAAGTTCGGTTCAGCAACGTGAAGAACGATATGGAAAGCTATCGTTGTCAGGTTAAATTACTATATTTATAGCTCGGCATATCTTAGCTTGTTATAAATACTCTACCTTGCTATGAATGCGTTATGTTGCACGAAGTTATTTCCTTATATTACAATGGTAAAATTATCAGTAGCCACAACCTAAATAAAAAAACAGAAAACAAAATCGCTACACAAAATATATCAGTTTACTTCTCTCTACAATTCTTCAGTAACCGACACCGATAATAGCAACAACTGAAATAGCAGTGGATTAGATTTCTTGTGGATTTCTTAATAATCGCTTCGGATAATAGCAGAGATTAACTCTCATTTCGGTTCTTTCGTAATCGTTTCAGATAAAACCATCAGTACAATCAGCAGTAGTTAAATTTCATCTGGTTTTTGATGGTTATCCATCTAAGTTAAAGCTAGTTTAGACTCAAATCATTTTATCATTTACAAAAACATAGGTTAGAAACACCTTGATTGTATTTTACTTCTAAAGTTCTTTTTTTTCAATTATCTCTATTTAAATACCTGGATTCTGAGCTCCAGACTGGCGAGGAAGGTATCTGGCGCTAGGCAGTCTACAGTACTCACTTTTGATGGCTCTCAGAGATGCTATGCTGTAGGGGCGGGCTATTTTCAAGCCAGGTTTCTTGTCTGCCAAGAAGGAGTTGGATGTGAAAGATAAAAGTGTCAGAAACCCTCCTGTTTTTCTTTCTTTTATTTTTTTACGCACGATCACTTCCGTGAGTTGGCACCTAAGCTTTCTATACCGTAGAACGAGGGACCTTTTAACTCCTGATATAACATTAATTTAGAGTTTCCACGTCACGACGTTACT